TTTTGCGCCTCTTGTTTTGTAACAAACTCAACAAATGCAAAGCCTCTATGGTTTCCAAATTTCATTGGCAGCCTTATACTTTTAATCTGAACGAGAAGAAAATTGAGAGTAAATCAGAGAAACAGCATGAACCTTCCAATCTAATATATATGGAGGAGGGAGGAGTTGTGCCATTTTTGATAGGTTCAATATGTTAACCTGCAAAAATTTACCTAGCCAAATGGGCTAAATAGCTGTCTCAAATCCTTTTCTGTTGCCTCAGAAGCAACATTTCTCACCAGTAACTTTGTTGTACTTTTGTCCTTCTCAACATTTTTCACTGCTTGTTCATCTTTCTTTGCATGACAAAGTTGCAGGATAAGAGCATTGCCATCCAATATGGTTCCCTAAAAGACAGGAATATTAGGAAGAAAAATATTTTCTCTCGATGTTGGAATCATGTTGGAATCATGTTCTGGTATCATACATTTATACTGTAATTACCTGTAAATCACTACAAACTCTTGTTGCTGTCTCCACAGAATCAAACTCAATAAAACCATAACCCATTGAGACCTGCTTGCCATTCTTCAAGTGCTTCTTTAACTCCAATAAATGAAACAAAATCAAAAACTCCATAATAATGGTAAGAAAGTTGCATGTGGTTGATGCTACAAGGACAAAGTAATTACCCTAACACTTTGTATTTTGCCCTCCTTCATCTCTTCACTGAAATTCCTTCTCAGGCTCTCATCTGAAGTCTTGAAATTCAGATTCTTGACAAATAAGGATCGTGACTGAGGCGGCAAGGTAAAGAGTTAGTGACTCAAAAGATAACTTGAAAGCAGAAACATTCATAACAACATAACTACACAAGAGGCACAATTTCAACTCCAATCTAAGGATCATTTCCTTTTGCAGTCATGGATTTTCAAAGATAAATCACAAATGCAACCCCAATTTTCACATATCAGTGTAAATTACATCATCTTGTTAAACATTGCTGGGCAAAACTTTACAAGCACTTATTCTGATTATTTCTTATTCGGAAATCAAATTTGCTATCTTCTATAATTGCTCTTCTAACTCAATTACATTTGGCAGTCATGATTGGGGGGTATTTTTATTCATTCTCAATGGGAGCAGAGGGATGACTTTATCCCCAGTTAAAAGCTGACGGCTAAAGGTATATTACGCACCTCAATTCTATCAGGATCAATATCCATATCTGAAATTCCTTCCACACGTTGCTCCAGAATTACTCTCTTGGCATCACGTTCTCCAACAGCTTCAATATTCTTTTCATCATCTTTGGAAGCAGACTTCGGACTAGAATATTACCAGGAGTATAATGGAGCATCCCTATAAGAAATAACACAGATAAAAAATCTTTAGCGTAGATGGTCTGATCTTGAAACTCTTTATCATACTTTTACTAAATACAAATAACATTCGGAATAGTTATGAGGTTTAAGTTATGAGGAAGAACCTAGTGGGAGATATGATAGACTTACTTGTAACGATTGTATGCTAAACCTTTAAATGCTGCACGAGCTTCTGCTGGTTCTAGGAAAACAACCTGAAATGTCATACATAAGAGAATCATTTAAGGAAACTACCAAGAATTATACCATCTAACTCACTTACAGGGAACCAATTCTATCAGTTTCCTCTAGTTTCCATTGTTGATATATTTAGACAGTAGGGAAAAAGGTTCATCACAGAGTAGTTTACCCTTAAACAAACAGAATGCAGAAGAAAGGCTTTGCAAAGTCATAAAAAACAAGTAGAGAAAAGTGAACCATGACCAATGAGTTCATTTCAAATGATCAGATAATGTTATCTTGTACTTATCTATACCTGAAAAACCCTGACAAACATGGGCCAATAAAACTGAACTTAGAAAAGGCCCAAGGACACCGTGATAGCCTCAAAAAGCAAGGATAATGAAACCTAAGGCAAATAATCACATACATTAGGATCAACCAAACCAGTTTCACATGCTATAACCTCTAAGGTTCCCTCCTTTCATGAAAGAGCTGACACATTTCTAAGGATACCCAACAATTCTCCTTAAAAAGCAGAGGATTAAATCCATATCCATTGGCAACAGAATAGTGCAGCAGATTGGTGTCTTAACTTTCATTCCTCTTGCATGCCAAATTATAGAGTAGAAGTGGAAATAGATTCAGATGGAGAAACCAACAAGGTTGTGCCTTGGTATATAATTATCATGGGATTACAACTTGCATACTGAATTACTGGCTAACAAAAATCAATATGGAAAAGCTTAAAAAACAAAGAAGGGTAAGGAATGGCGATTTAATTCTTAACAACGCCAATGTTTTTGAGGGAGGAAGTATAATCTTGTCTAAACTCCCTAATTTCCCGAACATATTAGCCAGTTCACTTTCAGATGAGCCATGAGGCAAGTTCTTCACTAGGAGAACATGGTTGCTTCTTTTCATAATATCTGGGTTTCCGGCGGCAAATTCCTCCAAAGAAGAAACATTAACCCTGGCATTTGCAAGGGCTTTCTTTGTAGCTGCAATCACTTGAGTTTCCCCCAAAGCAATACATACAGCAAGATCATCAGCTTCTCAGTCAAAAAAATCACTTTTACTAACACCATATTTCCTAGCAATGTTTTCAACAACCTATTAACATCCAGGGAACATTAATAGTCAGATGATGATGCAGTGACCACAGAAAGGCACTTCAGCACAGCACAACCAAAGGCCTAAATTGCTGCCATAGCTAGTAAAAAGCAGGACGGTAAAATTAGATTTTGCTATGGTAGCATAAATGCTCTGATATCAGCACAATAATGGTAATAGTCTTAACTATATAGATAAATGGAAATTTAGGAAGGATTACTCTTATGTAACATTTCTCTTTTTCTTTGATATTAGATGAAATATGGCATTTTTATCAATTTAAACCCTCAAATGGATTAACATTTTTCTTCATTTTTTACATTAAAAAATCATTAGGATGGCCATAAATCCACACATTTATGGCTGCCGACACAAATTCCTCAATCATCTGATATGGGGCCCACATGACTGGAGGATGGATGCCAACAGCCGCTTTTACCATTGTCTCAATCCCAATGTAAAAACAAACTAGGTCAAAAATTATATTCTGCTTCACTTAAAACTACGTGCAAAGTCAATTCTACATTATGGATATAATGAATAGAAATTGCAAAGGACAAGTCCAAAGACTTGCAATATTCATAATTTTGGTTAAAACATACTGTATCAGGGCACATGAATAGACTATTCCAAGCTCTTGTGTCTCCACTAGCTTCAGCTGCCTTCCTTTCTTCCTCCCTTTTCTGCTTGAAAGTTTTTGAACCTTGGGTTGTGGAAACATCAGCCCTAAAAAGTAACCTCTAATAAGTTTATTACTGATCTTTTTTCGAAATAAAGAACAAAAAAGAAGGCTACAAATGATGGGGAACTTCAAAGGAACAGAGCCTAATTAAAATTCATGCTGCTTATGCTTGTTTTTTGGATGTGTATTTTGCTTTTGCTGGCATGACATGCATTAGTCTGCCCTGAAAAATTGAATTGTCTAATTCTTCTAAAGCCCTGGATAATTAATCCAAAAGAAAGGCCAGAACAAGCTCATTAGCATTTTAAGTATTGGAAAGTGAAAACCGTGAATCCAGTCAATAAGCAATACAAAATAAAAACCAGAAAACTTGTTCTCCTGAACATAATGCAGAGCTAAATGATATGCAAACTACAAAGGCAAATATTTTCCTTAAAAATCATAGATACTGTCAGGAAGACAGAATGCCCAATTCTTGACATTTTTTAATGGACAAATTGCCATATTAAAATGGAAATAATGTAGCAGAAGGATAAGAAGACTAATTAAGATAAGGAAAAAATGCACTCATTTAACAAGCACCAACAATTAAATAGGGACAAATACATTCCAATGTTATAGCAACTAGTCTCCCTTTTGCAGATACTTCAAACAAATGGAAGAAAGGTGCACCACCTCTCTCAATGCTAAAATCTCGTATCATTTTCAGGAATCTGGCAAGTTCTATTCCTCAAAATTCCCATCAAAAGAGATATGAACAAGCTACACCCGGTCATATTATTTTCCTACCCCAAAAATACTTCCCCTCAATCATTTTACAAAAAGAGATCTATGGAGGAGTTTAGCCTTAGCTCCTAAGTCTTTGGAAGCTTCCCTAATCTACATGCCAAAAACAAAATAACCAATAGAGCTTCAATATTCAGCTTGTTGCAGAACCTCCATTTCAAAACACATGACAGACTAAATAGTTTCTACCATTCAAAGTAGAAAAAGAAAATGCATTGATAAGAACAAGCAATAGGTAAATGCATGAGAAGCATTAGAACTCAGCCATAGAAAAATCTCAGCATGCAATGCATCCTCATGCTAGCTTTACTTTAAGGTATAAAATTCTGAAGAATGCATACTTAGAAGTCACACTAAAAATACATTTCTAACGCCTCAGCTAAGAGATCAAGTTTCATATGCCTTAAATTCACGTCCATAAACAAAAGTAAGAATACAGTAAAAACAATGTCACCCTAATAAGTACCTTGCTGCAGACTCCGGAAGTGAGGACATATGCAATTCCCTTGGATCGTTTTGTATCTTTATTAACAACTAGATGGACCTGTGAGACATTACCAAATTTGCTGAAGAGATCCTCCAGCTCATCTTCACTGTTAAATCAAAGAAATTCAAGGAGAATTGAGAAAAGGAAAGATCTTTAAGATAAAATGCCATGTTTTAAACAACAATAGGATGGGGAATAAAGCTCTCTGTAAGATAACATACGTTGCTGTATCTGGCAGATTGCAGACAAAAAGACAACCAGTTTCAAGAACTCCATCTTTATCATCTTTCAAAGTTGATGATGGGTTCTCTGGGTCAAGAATTTCATCATTGGCATCTTCTGAAGGACCTTCTTCAGCTACATCCTTTGACAGGCTATCTTACATTCCTTTACAATCTTTACCAAGGCTTTCCTCAAGAAAATCACTAAATTCATCACTTTTTCCACCAACATCCTCATTTGTATTATCAATTTCTGCATCACTGTTACTAGCATCATCATCACTTTCTGAGTCAGACCAATCTTTCTGCACTCTACTTTTGAAATACTCCATGTCTGAAATGACATCATTATGTGCAAAATTCTGTCATTTTTCAGTTGCATTGCTATCTGTTGTTATGTTGGTTTTACTTTGCTCAACATCTACAAAAACAGACTTCTTTTTGCCTTAATACATACAGCAAGATCATCAGCTTCTTGGTCAGAAAAATCACTTTTACTAACACCATATTTCCTAGCAATGTTTTCAACAACCTATTAAC